ACTGAAACAGTAAGCACTGATTTAAATTCCATAGTGTTAGGTCTTTGGTGGGTCAGATTATATAGAGAGCTATTACAGGGCTTCCCAGGTGGCAAAGAATCTGCCTGCCAATACAGGAGACATGGGTTCGATCCCTAGGTCAGGAAGATTCCCTGGAAATGGCAACAAGTTGGACATGATGGAGCACACACACACACAAGTTCATTATAATTTTTACAGGTCTATATTTTAAAACTTTTTTTACTGTAAAATCTGTTTTTCATGCATGCTAAGTCACTTCAATCATGTCCAACTCTTTGAAGCCCCACAGACTGTAGCCCACTAGACTCCTCTGTCCATAGGATTTTCCCAGAAAGAAATTAGAGTGGGTTGCCATTTGCACCTCCTTGGGATCGAACCTGAGTCTCCTGCATCTCCTGCACCGTCAGGTAGGTTCTTTACCACTGTGCAACCTGGGAAGCCCAAAATCTGTTTTTAAACTAAATACCCATACTTATTTTCCTATTTAATGAGTTCAATGATGAGTTAAAAAAAAAAAAAGTTACAGAAAAACAAGACTATGTTCCTTGATATATTTAGAATGTAACATATTTTTTTCCCTTCTTATGTTTTAGCACTTGAAATTTTTTTAAAAAAATGAAGTGAACCAACCCAACGCTCTCTGTGTTTAGCATAACTGTATGTATGATTGCTTTGTTGTGGCAAGCTAACCAGGGATGATGAGATGATACTAGAAATTAACAGTTACTTAAGAAAAGCAACAAATTATAATTTCGACTTCAATGATGATAATGAACATGAGTTCAATTATATGTGTGTTTAATTTGCTTAAAAGTTTGCTTCTGTTAATTCAATTTCCCTATTTTTAGAAAATCTGGCTCAAAAGAGTAACTTAAATCAGATAGACTTTCAAAGAAATGCAGGCTTGACTCTCAAATCTATTTGAAACTATTCTAATATCAAGGCATCATTAATAGCTGCAGCTTCCACGACTTTGCATATCCAATAGCTATCTAAAAACTTTAATTGTCTCTTGAAAAGTCAATAATACTGAGCAATATGCCCAGCAGCAGTGCTCTCTCTCTCTTGCTGCCTCCAAGTCTCACATTGTGAGCTCCAGATTCCTCCGATAAACCACCAAAGCAGTGCTACAAGCGTGCATTCCCTGCAAGATCAGACTGGAGCTTGTTTTAAAGCCTGATACATCTATAGATGAAACTACAATCATAACCTGACAAAATTATACAACTTCCCTGGAGGCGTGGAAGATGCTGTTGCATAAAAAGTACTGGGAATGACTCGAATTGTCCTGAAAATTTTACCTGTGTGTATATATTAACAGCATAAACACAGTAATTAAAGAACCTCTCTTCCATGAAGTTAATAAATATCAAGTATTTCTATTGAGTTTTACAATTGTAAATTTACTGGCATACTTCTGTAAACTTTCAGATATCACCACTTGGATAAATGTATCCTGATAAGGTAATCCCCTAAAACCTCCAAACTCATCCAGTTTAAAGCTAGTCTTAACTTGAAGACTGGGAAGAAATCTGAGAGTAAGATCGATTTTTCAGATATTGATGGGAGACATGGCGACGTGGGAGATTAGCTAAGAAGCCCTCAGCAGCCTGATTAGAACTTGCTTTGTAACATTTCTTTCCTCATGATATCCTTGCTGTCCTCTGTGGAGAACTTCCAGCCTAATGCTACTATGTAAATAAATGCTTGTACTTCAATATATAAATAATCAGTAGTAACATACACATATATATATTTAAAATAATACAATCATCCATAAAAATCATCCCTAGATAAGCACAAATGAGAGGAAAAATTTTCCTATTCATTAATAAGAGCAAATATAAAATATCAGTCTAAATTTTAATAAAATGGACATGGCTTTCTTTTGATTGCAAAAGTAAACATTAAAACTATTTTAAAATACTAAAACACAAAGAGGGAAATAAATATCCTTAATAATCTCACCCTCAAAGATAAATGCTAAGAAAATGTTTGTATATAGGCTTCCAGGATTCAACATCTTATACATATATAAGTGAAGTTTTACAAAAACACAGTTGTTTAAAGTTCTTGAATTTGTTCTATTATATTCACAATGTTATGATTATTTCCCCCATGCCATTAAATATTCTAAGCATGTCTGAATGATTGTTCATTCTATTTTTGTAGGAGTATTTGTTTAACAAACTCCATGTTGCTTCATATTTAACCTTTGTTGTTGTTTAGTTGCTCAGTCATGTCCAGCTCTCTGCCACACCATGGACTGCAGCATGCCAGACTTCCTTGTCCTTCACTATCTTCTGGAGCTTGCGCAAATCATATTGATTGAGACAGTGATGCCATTCAACTAGCTCGTCCTCTGTTGTCTCCATCTCCTCCGGCCTTCAATCTTACCCAGCAACAGGGTGTTTTCCAATGAGTCAGCTCTTCATATAAGGTGGCCAAAGTACTGGAGCTTCAGCTTCAGCATCAGCCCTTCCAATGAATATTCAGGACTGATTTCCTTTAGGATTGACTGGTTCGATCACCTTGCAGTCCAAGGGACTCTCAAGAGTGTTCTCCAATGCCACAGTTCAAAAGCATCAATTCTTTGGTGCTCAGCCCACTTTATGGTCCAATTGTCACATCTATACATGACTACTGGAAAAACCATAGCTTTGACTATATGGACCTTTGTCAGCAAAGTAATGTCTCCACTTTTTAATACACTGTCAAGGTTTATCATAGCTTTTCTTCCAAGGAGCAAGCATCTTTTAATTTCATGGCTGCAGTCACCATCTGCAGTGATTTCCAAAGGGAAAGTGAAAGTCACTCAGTCATGCCTGACTCTTTGCTACCCCATGGATTGCAGCCTGCCAGGATCCTCTGTCCACGGAATTCTCCAGGCCAGAAACTGAAGTGATTAGCCATTCCCTTCTCCAGGGGATCTTCTCAACCCAGAGATCAAACCCAGGTCTCCCACATTGCAGGCGAGTTCTTTACCGTCTGAGCTACCAGGAAAGCCCAATTCCAGCAGTGATTTTGGAGACCAAGGAAATAAAGTCTGTCACTGTTTCCATTGTTTCCCCATTTATTTGCCATGAAGTACTCTGCATATAAGTTAAATAAGCAGGGTGACAATACACAGCCTTGAGGTACTCCTTTCCCAATTTGGAACCAGTCTGTTGTTCATGTCGAGGCACTAAATAACAAGAAAATCTGTTAGAAGGTTGTGTCTCATTCTAAAAGTGAGTCAGGATCAAAACACTGGCAAGGATCATGTAAAATAGGGGAAAAGAAAGGGATTTCATACTTGGATTAGCAATCACATACTGAGAAATCGGCACAGAGGGAGTGGGCAGAGGTGGGAGTGATGGAAGTAAAAGTAAGAAAGAAACCAAGGATGATTCTGAGGTTTCTAAAGGACCTAGGTTAACATTTACCCAGTCAATTTATATATTTCATATGCATCCAAGCCAATTATCTTTATTCTGTGTGAAGGTTATTTCATGTACTAGAAAACCTTTCCCAAAAAAATGTCTCAGTGATTCAGGTGATATTAGACATCAGAACATCTAATAAAATGAGGAAAATACTGAGAACATGTTATGATTTTGAGGACAACAATCATTTCACTCTTCTAATTAGGAATACAGCCTAGAGTGTCTTGTTTAAATGGACCCCATTTATTATAGTATGCCTTTAAAGGACTAGTATTTTAGTCCTGACATTTTAGCAACAAGCTGAATAGAAAGTTAATTTGTTCTGCTATGGAAGCATGGCTACCAATTAGACTATAGGCTCTGAAAGTCTAAGTTTAGCTACACTGCAGGTAGAAAATGGACTCCAAGGTATTTTCTAGCTTACTTCTTACAATAAATATATATAAAGTAACTATGGCTCAAAACCATAGTTTCAGGCATGGATTAATTTATCTGTATTTAATCTGTAATAAATTGTTCATTTGTAGTAAGTAAAAATCTCCTAAAAATATTAGTGTTCTTCCTTCCCTTCCGCCTTCCCTCTTTCTTCTCTCCCTCCTCTACTACCTCCCTCCCATCCTTTCTCCCTTCCTTGCTTCCTTTTTTCTTTTCTTCCTTCCCTTCTTTATTTTGGCTGACACATGCAAGAATCAATAAACAATATTAACGGGAGAGAGTAGAAAGGCAGTACCACATAACAGATTCTGAACTCCAACTATCTTGGATTCAAATTCTGGCTCTGCTGCTCATCAGCATCCTGACCATGAATAAATTACTTATTTCTCTAAGACTCATTATTTTCTAAAATAGAGATGATGATGATAATAATAATATCTACTTTGAAGGGCAATTAGAAAATTTAAATAAGAAAAAGGATATACAGTAACAATGGACCTAGCACATAGTATATAGTTAAAAATGATTAGCTATTACTACTATCTATAAATAGTCCTGTGCACTGATATTAGCTATGAAGGAAAAAATCATGAATGCCTGAAAGAAACAGATACAAAAATGGTCAAAAACAGATTAGCATCTCTTTTGAAGAAGTCTCTTTTTCTTAGCCCATCTTTACTGATGATTAATTATATAAATGTCCCAATTCACCACCTTTTCCTACATCCACATCCTTTTCCTCATGACTGCGCAGCTCCTTCCTTCAGAAGGTATAGACTTTGGCCACAAGAATAAAACAGAAGTGACAAAGTGCCATTTCCATGTGGGGGACTCAATAACCTTGAACACTTTCTCATGCTGCTTCCTGGAAAGGAACCAGTCTTGGCTGGTCTGCTGGAGGACGAGAGATCATGGGGACCAGAGAGCAGATGGGCCAGTTGAGATCACAGATGAGCCAACCCCCAGCTGATTTACAGCTCTCCACTGAAGGGGGTCAGGGCAGGCTGCCCTAAGAGGTGTCACTCTGGTGTTCAGATTGTTTCGAGCCGAAAACAAGTAAGGCCCAAAAGACTCAGGAAGAACCCTTGAACTTCCCCCGACTGACTAAAATAATTCAAGATGGAAGGTGTGTTCCAAGGAGTTATCACCGCAGGTAACTGCAGTAAAGAAATGGCAACCCACTCCATTATGCTTGCCTGGAAAATCCCATGGAGAGAGAAGCCTGGTAGGCTACAGTCCATGGGGTCATGAAGAGTCGGAAACAACTGAGCCACTTCACTTTCACTTTTCACCTTCATGCATTGGAGAAGGAAATGGCAGCCCACTCCAGTGTTCTTGCCTGGAGAATCCCAGGGACAGAGGAGCCTGGTGGGCTGGCGTCTATGGGGTCGCACAGAGTCGGACACGACCGAAGCAGCAGCAGGTGCGGTAGACAAGGAGGAATCTAGCAAAGCCCCCACAGTCAAAGCCTTTTCTGGGTTCCAGTGTCTCTTGGTGACCAAGCAAACACTTGTTTATCAAACATTAACTTTTTTCATCTTCCTGTGAATTTCCTTATTCCTTTTTGAAGTCCCAAGCCCCTAACTCATTCTACTCAATCCAAAATTGTCTGTCTTTGGCATCCTTCATGCTTATGTGAATTCCCCACAGGCACATAAAAAATTTTATTTTCTCCTGTCAATCTATCTCATGTCATTTTAATTATTTGACCAGATGAAAGAACTACAAAGGGAAGAGATGAGCTTGGGGGAGATATCACCTTCTCCCACTCCACAGACACAGTAGAGATTGGCCCAGTCTGGTCCAGATCTGCAGAAACAGCAAACCATGAACTTATAAGCAAAAATAAATGTGTATGTTGTATATCACTGAGGATTTTACTTGTTTGTTATCAGGCATTATTGGGGCGGTAGATTCTTGGTAACTCTCTGCATATAGAAGAAATTGAACATATTTTTGATGAAAAAATGTTTGCTTTGTGAATAAAGACTTAAAAATAAACATAGGAAAAGAAAAAAAAGCAAAGCATAGCAATTTAGTTACCAGCGGAGCACTTACTAACTGCCAGACAGTGCGCTAAATTTGATGTGTACATATAAATATACACTATGTATGCACTTCCACATAGGTAATTTTATATAATTCTTGCAAGAAACTTTTGAAGAAACTTATCAGAAGAAATCAAAGCTGAAAGAATTTAAGTAATTCATCTAAGCTTTCACTATGATTTCTGCTCAGGTTTGTCTGACTCCAAAGTGTATATCAATGCTCTTGTGATATTGTCTTCCAGTATAGATTTATTCATAACTCACAAGACCTCTGCATTCATTGACTAGAACTTGATAAATACATAGTTTTATCAGTTACTTATAAATGTAATTTCAGTGGTAACAATGAATTATTATTCTAAACATTTTTTGGCTCCATTTAACAGAAGCAGAGAATCAAAACCAGTAATCCAGACAAGTGCAAACAAGGCAAAACACTTTCTAGTAAACACATTATTTTATCAAATACATCCTTTTTATAATTAGCAAAATAATAAATTCTAAAGAAATTCAAAGCACATATACAATCTGAGGATAACTAAGAACTAATCTAGTCAATAGATTTACACAGACTAGGACAAATCAAGTGAAGGAATATTTAATTTCTCCATTTTCAGAGAGAAACTTCTCTTTTCTAAAGGTCTAAAATATAAATGAAAGTAAGTAAGTAAGTAAGTAAGTAAAGTCACTCAGTCATGTCCGACTCTTTGTGACCGCATGGACCGTAGCCTACCAGGTTCCTCCATCCATGGGATTTTCTAGGCAAGAATACTGGAGTGGGTTGTCATTTCCTTCTCCAGGAGATCTTCCTGACCCAGGGATTGAACCTGGGTCTCCCACGCATAAGATGATTTTGTGGAAATCATTAGAAGAGACACAAACAATGTAAATTGTTGAAAAAAGAAAATGCGCTCCCCTTTGGAAGAGAAGATTTTGAAATTTTATGAACACGGGTCTATCACTATAGACCGAACCTGGAAGAATTCGGGTATCCAACTTAAAGGAAAAGTGTCATCAGCTTTACTGAATGAAATGGCCTCATGCTGCTTAGTCCTCAAAGGAAAGGAAAAACCAACCAGCTTTTATGTTCTAGAAGCTGCCAGTCATGCAGCAGTGAACATGAGCCGTCACATGAGTCACTTTTCTTTCAGCCATAATCTCTTTTCACAGTGACAAATGAATCACAGAAGTCAATCTCAACTTTGACTATGAAAAATCTTCTGCAGGGATTTTTATTTGAAAAGAGTAAAGACAAGCAACCTAAGATTACACATTAGGAGGCAGACAAAATGATTGTGAGCCTAAACTGGTCCAGGTGTGCACAGAAAAGGTTTCAGAGCTCTGCCTGGCATGTTAGAGAGAGTTCAGTCTTTGAGACAGAACAGATGAGACCACATCCTGTCCCATGGCCTATTAGCTGAGTGAGTGGCTAAATTAGTCAATCTCTGCAAAACTTAGTTTTCTTATTCATCAAAAAGAGAAGATAATAGTATCTACATGGTAAGACTGTGATGAATGTTAAACAATGTATTGAGGCTTTTTTACCCACATTCCACTAAAAGCACTGATACAGAATCAAATAAGCACGAAGCAAACCTAACATCATTTTATACTATATGACTTAATACATAAAAATACCTTGCTGCTATTTTTCTGCATGCGTATGTTTATTTCATCCCCCTAATTAAACAGCTATTTCCAAAAAGCATGGCTTTCTATTTCTTTTTTTTTTTTTTTTTTGCTTTCTATTTCTTTAATGTACCCTTCATTTCTGAATACTATGAAGACCCTCTCTCTGCCCAAAGAAGGAACTCATTAAGTAAGGTAGATAACTATTGAGCTACACATTCCAAACAAAAGAGTAAGATGTCGCAAATCATGTTTTTATATGGATTCAGAAGGCACTACAGGAATCATACCAAAAACAAAACATGTACCAACACTATTTCTGCTCATTAGTAAAGTTTTATATAATCTCCAAGGTTCTTTCTCCTGCACCAGTGCCTTGTGGACAGTTCCAAGGCATACAATTTGTTTCCCAGTCATTACTAAGAATTAATAAGGTAATTCTGGATATCTCAATGCAACTTTTGCTGAATACTCTGGTCTCTCTACTTATTAGACAAAATTATTGTCAGGTTAAGAAACTTCTTAGTGGTTTCTGAGCTCCTGTTGCTACTCATTAGAAAATTCTGGAGCCAGGAGCAATACAAAAGGAAGGGGTTTATTAAGGTTCATTTTTTATGCTGAATAAAATTTCTGCTATTAGCACACATTGCAGCATTTCAGTTTATACTATATTAGCTACCTTTTAAAAATACACCCATATTTGATGACATTAAATGAAAGCAGTGGTTGAAGGGATCCTTGCTCTGTTAAAACCTCTGATGAATGATTTTGCCTTGCTATATACAAAATGCAACATAAACATGCCCCCAACTTGAATTTTACTGGACTCCTGCTAAATGTACGTAATTTAAGTACAGAAGCTATTATTTTGTGGTTAGTCTCAGGCAACTATCACAGTTTTAAACTTTGCCTTTGGTTTTTTTAATTCTGTTTTTTCAGTCCCAGCACAGTAGAATGTGTGTGTGTGTGTGTGTGTGTGTGTGTGTGTGTTGTCAGCACATAACTTTCAAATGATTCAAGATATGTTATATATATTTAGTTTAAAAATCCACTAATTAGAAGTTTCATACTCAAGATGCTTTTATAATGTGAAAAGCAAGAAGAGAGAAAGCAAGAGAAAAAAAAATGTACTGTGTAAAACATTTTTAAGCCTTTCCCACCCAGATGCATAGCAAACTTATTTTACTATATAGGCATTAAAGATAAGGTGAGCATATCATTAAAGAGTTATTTGCCAAGCCCTAGGAATTGTTTTTAAATACTTGGATATTTATCTACATTTCATAAAATACAAAAGATTTGTTTATTGATATAGCGCCATCTTCTGGTAAGTATTAAAAGGTAGTTGTCACCCCAAAATAGTACTGAAATCATTTAAAGAATTTAATGAAAAATTGATCCATTGTAACAAATGTCTAGAATTGCATTCTACTAGGGCTTTCTTAACATTTTAGTGTTATACTTACTTGCTACTTGTTAACCTTGACTTTTAACCTTTTCCAAGAAGTTTAAAGTTATTGTCAAATTGCTAAACATGGCATAAAATCAATACAAACTGTAAGATGAAGTTATATATGAGTGTCTTTTATACATAACGTGAAGCTTTATAAATTTATTTTATATGTAATATAAATACACATCTATATAAAAATCAAAATGTACTTGGATAATCTAAAAATTAGAATTATTTATTCTACTGCACAATGGAATATAATAAATGCATATACATATGCACACACACAATTCTACACATATGAGATCCAAAAAATAGGAACTGGCTAGCATTAATAGAAATGCAACACATCAAAAATGGACTGCTTGTCTAAATAAACCTTAACAAAAATTAAAAATTTAAATGCAAACATAAAATTGAACAAAACTCTTAGCATGTATGAAATAAAAAGGGCCAATAACTCTAAAATATAATCATTATAATTATTATCAATGGCAAATGTTAACCTCCTTAAAATGTTATAATTATAATGAGAAATTTTTAAAAAGGCAGTGACAACACAGAAAAATGAGATTAATAAAATTTTATAAGTGAGGAAATAGAAACTTAACAAAGATAAGCTTAATAAATAAAGCAAAAAATATTTTATCCTCATATACAATGAATTGTAAGCTAAAAAATATGTTTTTAACTAAAATTTGATAAAAAATTAAAACTGCAAAGTCATAATTTTAGGAGTGTAAATGCATATCATATTTCTGAAGTTATTTGTCAATATGCACCAAAAGTTCATTTTAATGTATATAACCTTGGATAATAAGCAAATGTGTGAGAAATATGTTAAAAAGAAAATTCAAAAATTTTAGTTTTGGGAATTTCCTGGCAGTCCAGAGGTGAGGACTCCATGCTTCCACTGCAGGGGCCAATGGTTCAATCCCTGATCAGGGAACTAAGCTCATGCATGTGTGCAGACCAGCTGAAACAAAAACACACACAAAAAAATATTTAGTTTCATTTTGTTGT